TGCAAGTATCAGAACTACTCTCGATATGATTTATATTTTTGTAGAAAAACTTGACAGGCCAAAGCTTTTCTTGCATTCATCTAGTTTGTTCTGATTAGCGTCCAAATTTGAACTTCAGAAGAAATTGAATGTCTCTAGGTTATGTTCTTTTTGTGAGCACGCGTTTTGCAGAGTTTATTTGTGATATAAGACGTGTACACTAGAAAAACCAAAGTGGAAATATTCGAGCCAGACTAGTAGGTAGTTGAAGGTAATCAGTTGTTAGTCAATTGCAGTTGTTCCATGCCTATCAAATTGTCGTTATGCCTCTTAAAATTAAGCCTGTTGCGGAGACAGAGACTGATAGGTTAATTAAAAAACTTTGCGAATCAGCAATAATTACCAATATTTCATTGGCATTGAACAGACTCAAAGTAGATTGTAGTGTCCGAGATAAGATCATAATAAATGTCTGTATGTTTGTTGTGGATTTATATCTAATATTACCTTGCATTTTTTAGAACTTACACGTCAATTAAAGTTCTAAAACTAAAAAACTTCCTAACAGCTCCAATTCAAATCAGATTGTGTGCCTCTAATTTTGTTCTGCGTCAAGTTTCTAAAATACTTGGGTAACCACATAACAGTGAAAGAACATTCGTATTCTCAAAATATTCCCTCAAAGTGCTTTTTAGAATGTTCTTTTAGGAATGTTTAATGAATATTCTAAGATTGTTTCAATTGAAATATTAATTTTTGAACGTTCTATTTATGTACTAGGAATGTTGCTTCTATGCACCTACCTGGAAGATTGTGCTAAAAAGCTACTTTATTTAACATTATTTGAATATTGTCATACGAATATTATTATAACGTACCATAAAAGATGTTCTTTCGGCTAATATCTCTATCAAGTATCAATAATATACCTACCAAGTTGTGCTGAGAAGTTTATGTAGGTAGCTAACCATGATAAGAATATTTTCATATTGTTAACCTAATTATCTAAAGTACCTACTCAACAGTCTTAATTGAACAATTAAACAATAATGCTCTATCTAGAACCTACTTAGAATATTATAGGTATGTTCTTTTTTTTTTGCTTTGTAGGACTTCCAAGAGAGGGAGCCACGCGCTATTAAAGATCTACATCTTGCCTAGCGTTTAAATCACCTTGGAACCTGTTTCTCTCAATTGGCATGCTTTAAACACTTGTGTTCTCCAGACAAGTTTTCCAACAACTCTTTTACTGCCTTTAATATAAAAGGGCTGAAAGGAGCACTATTTGGAAGCGAAAATTAACAGTCCAAGTAGATCCTTAGAATCAAACAAGAATGTTATGTCTAGGATGCATATTGAGATTGAGAATGATATATGTAAATATATTCTAAGAATATTTCAAGCACATTGATATAATATTTTTTTGAGAACATAACTAAAATGTCATAGAAACATTCTTTGAATGTGAGAATATACATTTCGAGCATATTTTTAGAATCAAACAAGAATATTCTTTTCAGGATGTACTGAGAATCTCATAGGTATATTCTAGGAATATCCTTATGGATTTCCCAGGAAGTTCTTGGGTATTGCAAACAGTATTTCTACAATCTTTTCTCAGAACATTCTCAGGACATTCGCAATGGTTTTGGCGAACATTCTAGGCACATCCCTCCTAAAAAAAGAACATTCTTATTACATTCTAAGGATACAATTTTGTTATGTGGCAGACTAACTAAATCTTGCGAAATTCGTATGAGGCAAACAAAATATCTATAAGCAAAGATAAGTAGAGCCTAGCCTAGGCATCATACTGCTGCTTGCTGCTTTTGAAAACCCCTTTAGTTGCAATGCTGCTAAAATCTACAATGGTTTCCCAGAGGAACTAATAAATCTACCAACTTTTTGAGAAAGTCGAAGAAAAAAGAGTAGGTACCTATAATAAAACTGTGAAATTGCGCGGTTATTCAAAACTAATATTTATTTCAAATTAGACTGTTCTTGGAGAAACGCGCTGAGAGAAAAATGTAAATATAAAATCATCGTTTATGTGAGATACAAAAAAATTTACTAAAATTAACAAAGTATTGTTTTTCATTTGTTGGAACACAATACCTCTTTAGCTATTTCGTCTGGCATATTTCTCACAAGAACAAGGTTTTCTATGACGAAATTCCTCTAATTACTACAGCACACACACCAGATCACGGTGCTTAGGAGATATTTCATTGAAGAGTTTATGGCATAATATTATACGTATACGCATTTAACGCATCCACTTCAATTGACTGACGAAACAGTTCCTTGTAATAATAATAATTAGAAACAGACATTCTTGATTAACTGACGAATGCGCACGTAAGTGCTACGCAGCAAAATGTACAAAATATTTCGCTATGCAACTAGGAACTAATTTTCATCAAGTGAATGAAAATTTAAGGCCTAAAATATGTTTTCAAGGTAATTCCAAGCCCAATTTGGCCCTAACCCTGTCAGAATTCTATAAAAGGCCGCGTAGGCGCTATACCTATTTTTACCAGATAAAACTTTCAAACCTTTTTGGTTCCTTGCTAATTAACAGGAAAGTTAAGGAGCACATAATAACGAAAAGTTTTAAACAATATAATTATTGACAAGTTTCTCAGTGGTTGCTACAAAATTTATAAAATAAGTTTTTATCCATAGCTACGACCGTGCCACATAAAGTACCTACGTATTTGCAATAGTTATTTATGTACCAAGGGCGCAATTGGAGCGTTTGCGGAACGCCGGCGCCGTGCGGAATATTTAAGCACAAAGCGCAGCGGAGGGCTTTAACCACGCGAAGGGCCACAAACACAATTTTTGCCTGTGCAACATAGTAAATTTCATGTACGACCGCGAGTAATTATGTTTTAATTCAAATATTATTTTAGATAAATTATTAATCAGTGCCGTATCTAAAACCTATGGGGCCCTAGGCCCGCTTGAAATTACGGGCCTCTATCGGGTCCCGTAATTTCAAGGAGGTGTGAACAGGGATTGCCTCCCTGAGCCTTCATAAGTTTGTTGGTAAAGTGAAAAATTTCAAAATTCTCAAATCAAAATGTGACATATCGTAATTTTGGTGCTGCGTAATTTTCTCAACGTACGTTCTCTTAACGCTTGGAAAAGTCTGCAGATTCTGGTCTTTAACCAGTTTGTAGATATCAACAGATATCGGCAAAGCATATCTTTTTGATGTTCTGATAAAAATATTATAAAATGTAGGTACTCGTTCGTTTGACTAATTAGGGCGGGGCGGTATCCCACTTAAGCAGGGCTTAAAACTTTTAAAAATTGTAGACATTCTGTAACAAATCAAAGAAATTGGCAAAAGTTGTCAGATTTTCTATACTTTTAGCGACTAACCCAAACTAACCCAAAATAGTCCAATAATAAAACTATGAGAGAAAAATTTTAAATGTAATCTCGAGACTCGAGACTACACGAGACTCTCGCCGAGTCTGGTCTCGTCTCGTCGAGACTTCACGAGACGAGACCAAAAGCCAGTCTCGTCTCGAAAAGTCGAGACGAGACGAGACGAGACCAGTCTCGAGTCTCGCGGCATCACTAGTTATTTGTGAATTACTGTTATTAATAAATAAAGATTGCAGCCGATTTCACGCCGATTTCAAAGTCAAATAATAAACAAAACTGGTGGTTATTTGTAAATTACCAGTAGAAACTGCAGTTACCTACTAAACAATCAACGACAAAACCCTGTCTTTCAGAACCCAGGATCTCCGTATCTCCGAAATTCAGAATTGCTACTAATAGAGGAAGTTATTATTAACGATGAGGAACGAGATGAAGAAAATGATGTTGGGAAAAATGAGGAGCACACTATTTGGATACCAAATTTTGACGATTTACATAACACAAATATACTTAAACTTTCGTGAGCCTGCAGAAACTGTACCTACTGCATATTTCTCATGCTTAAGAAATTCGATGAAAATAATAAATGATGACATTGTGAAACTCATTGTTGAGCAAACTAATGTATACTTCTTCGAGGAAAGGCAATAAGAAAACGAAACCAGGCAAAATTTGTAGAATACTTCCAATGAAAAAATCATCAGTCCTAATAGGAATTTCGATAATAATGGGCATTGATCAATCTTCATTTAATCAAATCGCATTTAGCTAATTATTGGTCAAGTGGTCCGTTTGAGTCAGTCATTTCTGTAAGTAAGATATAGTGTAATCTGGAAGGCAAAAGGATCCATTTTTCATGAATTTAATCAAATAGAACAAATAGGTACACCATCAAAAACTTAGAAGAGTGAGGTTACAAAAAGGAATACCAAAATTCGGATGTTCTCAGCCACAGATCACCGCCTGGAACGGCAATGTACAAGAAGTTTTTTCATTGAACCCGAAATCAGCATGAACTTCTAGTGGAAATTCATTGGACAACCTGGCGACCGACCCTCAGTCTGACGCTGGCTCCGCCATCTAAAAAATACTTATACTAATATATTTACATATTAATTTGAAGAAATAATAATGAAAAATTGAAAATAGATATCTGGTACCACAGTTTCTGCTTTGCAGAGAATTTGTAAACCTTTTATCTTCCCTCTAAGACATAAAAAGCAAATTTTTTGTGAATATCGGTTTCTTCAGGTTTCTTGTAATCTTTGACTTTGAATAGGTACCTTGCAGTGCTCTCCCGATATGAATGGGAACTCTCAAAATATTTTTTAGAACGTTTTATAGGTAGGTACAATATTATAGGTAATCAGCACATAAAAATCCAGTTGACTGGAAGATTCTAAGAAGATATGTCTTAAACTGTGGTCTTGATACAATTGGTTAACTTTTTTAGGCTCCTAGGATATAAGAAGCTGATAATTTTTGTTAGTAGGTAGATCTTGTTTTAGACACATACTTTATTCCAGCTGATTTTGTTATATTACAAAAATTCAAATAAAAAACATTTGGATACTTAAATACCCCTAAAATATTTTACAAACTTTATCTAATGTCTATAATACCCTCCTAAAATTCCATGCCCGTAAGGACCAGAATATCCATGTGCAGCTGCTGGCGCTAGGATAGTTGGAGCAGCTACTTTTGCAGGATGATAGCTTGGGCCAATTTTCTTTACAACTGCGTTAAAGCCATGCACGTCATCTGAGGTATATTCTACAACACGAATGGATCCGTCTGGTTCTGACACCGAATATGATCCCTTGACTACATCGCCATCTCTGTACTCTGATTGAGTTTTGCTGTCCCCAGTGAGTCCGTCAGCTACACCGTAGTTGTATGAATATTTTGGATGTGCCTAAAAAAAATAATTAAAATTACTATGTGTAGGTAATTTAGTTTCAATACGAACATTCCAATCATGTATGTCTACTCACGTAGTAATCAACATCATGTCCATGATCGCCAGTCGCATATGCAACGGGTCCTCCGATTCCTCCATAACGGGGCCCGATACCGGCGTAAGCTAACCCAGCATGTCCAAATGATCCTGGTCCAGGATGTCCAACAATTCCTGCTTGAACAGTGGATATTGCTATGGCTACGATGAGCAGCTGAAAAAATGTATGTTTCATAATTTTTCAATCAAGTTATTTTGGCCGGATTGAAACTATTCAAGAGTGGTGGCAAAATCTCGCAGTTATAAGTTTTTCTTAGGTCAAATACTTTATCCTAGGTGACTTTTCATCAGCTGGCGTTCAGTAAAATTTTAAATAAGCAACCCTACGTTCCTAGCATTCCTAGCCTAGTTTATTTAACAGATGAGAGTTTCTCTTCTATACTAATCTAATTGACTCATTACGGCCTTCCAGTGTGGCTGAAAATAGCAAAGGGTAAAAACTCTAGTTAGTGTCTAACTGCAAAATTAAACAAACCGATGGTAAGCTTCTGACCATAGCACTATCTACGGCTTCAACAAAGCACTAGTTGACTCTATTACCGCTCATAGTCTCATCACCAAGTTATTTTTTCAATCCGATATTTCTTGAACAAATTGAGGACATAGAACATGGTAAAATAGTTCTATGAGATAATAAAAAAGCCGGAGCTGAATAAAAAAACAGCTTTCTTAGAAAACTGTGTTCAATGACATATTTCCAGGATGATATGGATGATCGTTTAGAAAAATTGATAGAACTAAATCCGATTGTACCGTAAATATAAAGCACCATCTATCAACTCCATCCAATCTTTGAGATGAAGCAAAATCTATTATGTTACATACATTTCTAACATCGAGTATTCCATTCCTGGAAACATTCAACATGTATCCCTCACCAGAAATCATTCGATAAAGACAATTTCTCATCTGATTCCTAATCTTTTTCCGTGTTTACTAGTCTAGGGATAAGACTGGCGTTACAAATTACAGAGGGATATTGATGCCCATGTTTTTGGAACCTACAAACGCTACATCACATAACATCAGTATCGAATTTCTGAAGGGAAATAAACGACCACTAATTTAGCACTATATCAAGATTATCAGGACAGAGATTTAAATTATCCTAGCTCAAAGGTAGATGTTCAGATGTTGCCTTCACTAATTTATCAACAGCTTTTGATAATGTCTGTGACTCGCGGGATTTTTGATCCAAATTCTCTAACATAGGACCCAACTCTCTGGCATGGATTGCGAATTCTTCAAAGATCGTCGATCAAATATTTGTGGGACGAGTGGCATCGAATTGGCAAGATCTTATTTTCATTGATTATGATGACATTGCATCCCGATGCTGGATGCATCCCTATGCTGGATGCATCCCTATGCTGGATGCATCCCTATGCTGGATGCATCCCTATGCTGGATGAGCTAAACTGTCTTTCATCCTGTATTTTCCCTGTGTGTTCTTGAGTTTAAATGTGGTAAGGATAATGAGACATAAGAATAAAGCAAGGGGGTATTCACCCTTGTAAAATAGTGCACGATGGCGCAGACCGGAGCAATAGTGGAATAATCTAGCTAAGCGTAGATTGGGGCCTATCGGAGATTTCTATTACGGAATTGTAAAGAAACTTAGGGAAGGCTTTGAACGGCATATGAGCGGTGGTCGACGCGAATGGAGCAGATCAAAAATCTTTCGCATGAGTTTCAATGAACAATTTTCCTTTCAAGGACATCTCATTTATGGAAATTATCATTTTCGCAACTTCCTGATATTTCACTGTGGATTCTATTCAATTTCCAAATCACTATCTACCAGGCGAAATGCAAATAACTTATTATTTGCCGCCCACCAATCAGTTGTGAACTTTGGGAAATGCTGTGGAAATTGCCGAATGCTGCGTATAACCGAATTTAATCCCTACTCATGATTCAGTATTGTGAACATGGGAATGCTTGTCCAGAACACCGAGAGTCCAGAGAACGATGATACTGTTTGTGTTCTGTTCCACTCGCGGATGACGTAAGAAAATTCATAGATTGTTGGGGTACTGGGGTACCACGGAAATTTTAGTTCAGTCCGATGTTTTGTTCCTTCAACTCTTTGCTTGATAACAAGCATTTCAATTGATGCAAGAGATTGCATCCGCAACATTAGTTGAAGCGTTTCGCAAACTTAGTAAAACTGTCTTATAGTCCCAAAAAGATACCGACAAACTTTAAAGGGTAGTAAGGGACATCAAAATAAGCATTTTTGTTGGCAAAAACTCAATCGGTGTAGATAATCTTCCGGATTTAGGGCTTGTACGCGTTGTAAATGAAAAGGGTAGAGAAGTTGTTCCTGAAAGACTCGGTGTACCGTCATCCTGGAGGATCTCATATGGTGTGCAATTGCACGAACACTTGTAGATTGTTTTTTTTTTTGACGTGGTGTAAAACTTCTTCTTCAAATTGAACTGTACGAGCGTTCTTGGGCGACCAGCTCAATCGGGATGTCTTAGTGTTCCAGTCTATCTAAGAAGACGATGGATAGAAGCAAAGGTTGTATGATGAGGTTGCCTACGTTCTGGATATATATTGACTAACGTACTAGCATTCATTATCCAATCATTGGATGTTCCATTGTCCATTGCACTAATAAGTCTCTATATCCAGTCTATAGCTGAACTGTAGACGATTACATATTCTCCGAAGTATGGCACAACCGAAGGACGGAACTGGTACGCGCGAAAATCATCCGTACGACCTGTCGTTTTCGTAGCCCGGCCGAATTCGTACTGACTCCCTTTTCTCCCGTTCGTGCGCATACACTCATTTACTTATTTACAATTATTGTAAAAATTATAATACACAATACTCCTTCACCCCAGTTAGAGAGAATTTAGAATATCCCCATATGAACTAAGTTACGCTACTATGTACATAATGGGTAAATAATTTTTTTAGTCTTCTTCTTTTTCCTCTTCCTCTGGCTGATAGCCTAGCCTTTGAGGAGGTCGGCAATTCCTTTCAGGTTTACGAAGAGCAATTGGCAAGGACCGTCGGTTATTTTTCACAGGAGAACCGGTTTTGGAACCTCTTACTGGCAGTTCCAATTCTATTTTCTCCTCACTACCATTATCCGATCCTTTGTAAAATTTCATCTGATTTGAATGTCTTTGCCGTCAACTTTGTGTTTGGGTTTTTGAACATTTTAACGGTCTGGCCGTTTCCCCAATTTTGAATCTGCTAGTGGGAAATTCCGTTTCTTTTATTAATGGATGGTTAAACCAGATCCAACGTAGTTCGTATTTACCTTCCAAGAAACAATTCACTTGGAGAAGCTTTAGTTGCTGAGTGAGTGGTACTTCTGTACTTGAAAAAATAGTTCTTGACATGATCGACAACCCTATTTCCAGATGCTGTAAGGAAAATTTTCTTGACTGCAGACTTGATTCAACATAACTTTCAGCTTCTCCATTTGATGACGGGTGATAAATTGGAGTAGTTATGTGATTGACACCATAATTTTTACAGAATTCGTGAAAAATGCTTGACGCAAAGGCAGCGTTGTCAGAAACAATTTCCTGAACCAACCCATAGTTAACAAAATGATCCATCAATACTCTAATTGTAGTCTCAGAGTTTGTAGACTTCGTTGGTATAATTTCTAACAATTTTGGAAATATATCCACGACAATCAAAACGTTGAATTTTTAAGAGGTCCAGCATAATCTATGTGTATTCTATACAATGGCTGTGGAACCTTAGGCCAACTATGTATAGGTCCCTTAGGAGGATCCCGGTTTATAGACGTACAAGCTATATAATTATAGGATAATCTTTCAATATCAGAGTCCAAATAAGGCCACCACAAATATCGTCGGGTTGAATGAAGGTCCTGTAAAACCCTCGATTGAAGACTTCTAGAAACAATCGTCCCAATTCCCCACAAAACACAGTCGTTCTTCACTGATAATTTATGCCGTCTCACGAAGTACAGTTTTAAAATTTTGGACATATTTTAGGCCAGTCCTGTAATATATATTTTTTAACTTTGTTTAAAGTAGAATCCATAACCGTTTCTCGAACTATTTCTTCACCTTCAAATGGAATTTTTTTTTTGTACATTTTCAATAATATTAGATATATTATCAAAATCGTTGTCAGATCCTGCAGGAAGTCTGGAGCGGCCATCTGGTTGTCCGAACTTGGAAGTAGCCAGTAGGCATTCCTTTCTTCGAGCCAAAGATTGTAACTACCGCTCTATGATCGGTTAAAAGTTTGCAATGTCTACCCCATACATATTGGTGAGTTTTTTTTTTTAATTCCAAGCACAATAGCTAAACCTTTACGCTCTATTTGTGAATAACGTTGCTCTTCTGGTTTTAACGTTTTTGAAGCATGAGCTATCGGATTTTCAGATCCATCAGGGTATCGGTGATAAATCACTGCACCAAACCCTGCTGCTAAAATTAGTGGCAAATTTGGGTCATAGTTCCTCCCTAATTTTTGCAAATGCTTGATCGCATTCTTCGGACCAATTCCAAGTAGCAAGTTCTTGCGAAATTTATTTGGAGGGTAGCATCAATTAGTTGATTTGGGTACTATTAATTTGAAGTAATAATTAATCATGAACAAAGAGGACTGTAATTTATCCAAATTCGAAGGTCGCGGCATGTTTAAAATGGCTGCTATTTTCTTCGAAGACTTGTGTAACCCCTTTGAAGAAATAATAAATCCCAGATATTCCACACTTGACTGCATGAATTTGCATCTCACTTTTCTAACACGTAGTTCAAATTTTTTTTTTTTTTTTTTCTGAATTTTCCAGATTTTCTAAGTGTGATTTTTCATCTTTCCCTGTAATTATTATGTCATTCAAGTAAGATGAAATTCCTGAAAGTCCAGACAGCATGTGATTCATTAGATTTTCGCGAGGGGTCAACAGCTGTGGATTCCTGGTGTACACCAGTGTAGATTTCTATGGATTTCTATAATTCTTGTGGATGTCTATAGATTTCCATAGATATCCGTGGATCTCACGGCATTTCTGTGGATCTCACTAGATTTATGTGGATTTCCATGGATTTCAGTAGATTTCTGCTATTGAAATCTGCCCCTTATTGTCTCGTTGTTTTTGGAACAGATAACAGGTTTGATTCCAACGATGTTTCGAAAAGATGGAAACATATGAAAGAAAACTTGAACAGGCGGGTTATAACCTTACTAAGATTCTTCAGTGATGGCGATACGTCTATTAAAAGCAATGCGCCAGTATGCTTCATTTCCACCGGCGCTTCAAATGGCAGCACAAAGTATACATTTAAATGGTATCAGGCAGGATAGGATAGGAATAATTCTTCCAACATCTCCTATGTACAGGATACTCTACATATCGCAACAAAACTGCGCACAAGATTTCTTTATCCTAAAGTGGTTTTAACAATGGGATCTTATACTGCAGAACCTACGCATATTATGGACCAGCTAATCTCAAATTTTTCAAAGGACAAACATTTGTTTACAGCCTCGGATTTGAAAAGCGAAGATAAGATGTGCTTCAAATCTGCGGAAAAGATGTGTTCTAAATCAGTAATCCAGTTGCTTGAAAGACAATTTTCCTAATCATCTTACTTAGACGCTGCGTTAGATGTAAAAAACCGGCTTTACAGAATATGGTTTTGTGTATTTTTTTTTGCGGATTTGGCGCAGATAGCTAGCTGATCAGCCGTGTCCCAAGAATGGTGGAAACCTTAATAACTCAAACTGTTACCTATGTATTTCATTAAGTTAAATGCTCATACTTTCATTAATATTTCCAAAAATATACAGGAAAATCCAATGTTCCTGCCTGACCTTTTTAGTAGTCATACCTGCGAAAAGACTTCCAGAGCAACAAGGTCTGAAAAGCAATGAAAAGT